ATGCAGTGGATGCTCCTGCTGCCCCAACGTCATTATTAACCACAACAGGGATGTAGGGGGCAGTAGGTTGAACCACCAAGATCAATGAGACACTATAGAAGAGATCAGCGGCTTAGGCAGTGGGAAAGGTCAATGTTTAGGCTCCATGCACACTAGTGTTTTTATAAGCTGAAAAAACTCTAGAAAAAAATGATTGATGAAAAAAAACTCTGATAATAGCATTTTTGTGCTAGCTTGTAGTAGCATTTTAATAGCATTTAGTAATGTCTAGAAATGCTTAGGAGCATGAGCATTTTATTAGTGTTTTTACAGTACATGATAAAAAAAGGCTGTTATGAGTGTTTTATTAGTGTTTCGAAGCATTTAAAAAAATATGTGTTTTTGTAGAGTTTTTGGGAGCATTTTTCCAGCAGAAAAAAATCCCGAATGCTCTTAAACGCTCCTAAACACTACTAAAACGCTCCAACAGCTTTTTTCTAGCTTTAAAAATACTGTAAAAATGCTAATAAACGCTAGCGTTCCCAAACGTTACTAAAACCGCTATTACCAGCATGTTTTTTCAATTTTTTGGACTTTAAAAAAATGCTCCTGTGCATGAAGCCACTGCTACTGTTTGTATTTATATTATGTTTTCTGGTATACTTTATTTTAGTCCTCATGCACACTTGACATTTTTACAGCGGCTGTTTTTTTGCTTTTGAAGTTCTTTTCTACAGCCAGTAAACTCCCCAGAATGTTATCCTATGTGTCCATGTACACATAGACTGTAATCAACATTTTTGTGGCTGGGACTTTTTTGGCTGGAAAAACCCCCCAGAACTAGTAGGTTTCTAGAGGAGTTTTTTAGCTGTAAAAACACTCTAACTCTGAAAAACACAGAAAAAAACACAGTAAAACGCCACAAACGAGCATTTTTGGACCAAAAAAACCCGCAAAAAAATGCAAACGCGGAAAAACGCTGCTAAATGCTAATGCAAAAATGCTAAAAAAAAGCTGGAAAACTCATGTTTTTAACGTGACTTTACACAGCTAACGTTACCAGCATTATCAAAAACACCCCGTGTGCATGGAGCCTCAAGCCAGGTTCACATGTGCGGCCATGCGGGCTATCATTTGAGTGGGCAAGAGAGCCCATTCATTTGAATGGACTCCCATTCCCCGGGACACTCAGGGAAGAAGTCCCTGTACTAGTTGGGATATCGCAGCCCGCACGGGAACTGAGGTTCCCAGTATGGTTGTGATTTCCAGTGTGGGCAGTGGGCCATTAGAATTCCTCTCTATGGGTGGTGCGGCTGCAGGTTATTTGTGCAGGTCCCGCAGCGGCACCACCCGCACAGATGTAAACCAAGCTTTATAGTTAATGAGATATTTATTATTCAGGGACATCTGTCTAATAAAAAATGTTGCCATAAATAGTTATTACAGTATTCAGGTGCTTGAGTTGCTCCGTGCCTCACATCTGCCCATAAGTGGCACTATCTGCATGACCTGTACATTCTGCCTCCGTTTATATTGAATTCCTGTAGGGGGGTCATTTTCTTCCATAATTTTAAAACACATACTAACAAACAGGTTAACTGGCTTCTGACCATTATTGCCTCTCTATGACTATTGCAAGCGAGGACATTTTTTTTTAAACAGCAGCCAGGGTCTGATGTGATGTAATTATTACATAAAATTATTACATTATTATATTATTTAGAAGAATGTTGGTGGTAAAGCGATGAAAGTATATTTTGTGATAAATATTTTTAGAGACTCTTTAATGATTGGCCACTGGATTGGCGAAGGGCCAACGTGGTGCCTATATTTAAAAAGGGATCACAGACTTTACCAAGTAACTATAGACTGGTTAGTTTAACTTCTGTAATCAGGAATATACTTGAGAGTGTAACCACTTCAATTCCGGGCACTTTCACCTTCTTCCTGCCCAGGCGAACTTTCAGCTTTCAGCGGTGTTGCACTTTGAATGACAATTGCTCAGACATGCAACAGTGTACCCCTATTACAGTTTTAGAGGGTTTTTTTCACACAAATAGAGTTTTCTTTTGATGGTATTTAATCTCCACTGGGTTTTTTTTTTTGCTAAACAAAAAAAGTGTTTTTCTTAGTTTCTGTTATAAAATTTTACAAGTAAATAATGTTTCTTCAGCAATTTAGGTCAAACTGTAGTCTGTTACATTTCATGGTGAAAATAACCCTATTTAGTCTGTAGGAAAGTTATAGAGTCCACAAACTATGGTATGTATGTCTGAAAGTTGATCGCTCCTGATGTACTGATAAGCAATCTCTTGAGGCTCAAAATGCCAGGACAGTACAAATATTCCCCAAATTACCCCTTTTTGGAAAGTAGTCTGTCCAATGTATTTATTAAGAAGCATGTATTTTTTCTCACAATTTTTTTGGTAAATGAAGACATTTTTTAAAATGGTCTTTTCACGGCCTTTTTTTTTTTGTCAGCAGCGCATCATATAACTGGTGTGGCAGTAAACATGGACACTGACTGGTGACAGTGTGTAATAAAAAAAGAAACATTTTATTTTTTTTTTTATTATTATATTTTATGTCTTTTATGATTTTTTTTTTTTTACCACACTGTGACTAGAGCAAAAGCAGGTTATCATAGTAACATTGTATGACTCTGTGGAAGTGATCAGGATTTTTTTTTTCAATAAATTTCACTGCTGTAAGCAACCATTTTTACTGAATGAAATTGATTCAGTCAGTGTTTACTTTTGTGGTTAGCTTTGATTGGCCACAGCTAATCACATGGTACAGATGGGCTTTGATTGGCCCTGTCTGTACGATGTGATCAATCACAGAGATCAACACAATAGTACACAATGGATGGCATGAATGAACGCCATCCATTGTGTACAATTGCCATGTGATCATCTATGATTGGTCACAATGATCACATGTTACCGGCAGAGGCTGGTACACTGATCGGTCATCTGCTGAGTCATCTGCTGTGTCCAGTGGAGGACGTTTTATGACATCCACCCAGAACCGTGAATGTCCCACCTAGAAGTCTTTTGACTATAGGCCGAGTGGGAAGTGGTTAATAAAAGACCACAGAGATGAGCTTGTGATAAAAAAAACAATATTCTAAGCAATACTCAGCATGGATTCACAAACAAAATTAAGTTGCCAAACAAATGTGATTTCATTTTATGAGGAGGTAAGCAAAAAACATACTGTAGACAAAGAAATGGCTGTAGATCTAGTATACTTAGATTTTGCAGAAGCATTTGACACAGTTCCCCCACACACGGCTAATGTGTAAATTAAAGTCTACAGGCTTAGAAAAATGTATTTGTAAATAGATAGAAACCTGGCTAAAAGTTCGCATTCACAGAGTAGTGATTAATGATGCATACTCTGAATGGTCTAAGTGATGTACCACAAGGTTCTTTGTTGGGACCCTTACTTTTTATAAATGATATAGGGTCTGGGATTAAAAGTACCATTTCAATCTTTGCAGGTGACACCAAGCTGTGCAGTGGAACAACATCATTACCAGATATCGCCGATTTACAAGCTGACCTCAATGCACTGTTTGATTGGGAAACTATATGGCAAATGAGGTTTAATGTTGATAAATGTAAAATTAGGCACTTGTGGCTAAACACGCATGCATCATACATACTAGGAAGAGAGTAACTGGGGGAATCAATGGTGGAGAAGGATCTGAGTGTTCTGGTAGCTCATAGTCTTCATAATGGCATGCAATGCCAAGCTGCGGTTTCTAAAGCAAGCAAAAAAAGAGTTATAGATTCCAGAGAGAGAGAGAGACAAAGCTTTGTCTCTGTACAGATTGTTAGTAACACCTCATCTGGAATATGCAGTTCAGTTTTGTTCAGTTCACAAAAAAGTATAGTGGGGAACTGGAGAAAGTGCAGAAAAGGGCAACCAAACTGATAAGAGGCATGGAGGAACTCAGCTATGAGGAAAGATTATCCAAATTGAATTTAACACTTTGAGTAATTAGGTGGAGACAGGAACACCATGTACAAATACATAAGTGAACTTGGTGTAGAGTTATTTACTTTCTGGTCATAACAGAGGACAAGGGGGTACACTTTACATCCGGAGGAAAAGAAATTTAACCTTCACATATGAAAAGGCTTCTTCACAGTAAGAGTTGTAAAAATGTGGAATAGATGCCCTCAAGAACTAGTTCTGGCCAGCTCAGTAGATGATTTGTTTTTTTTAAAACTGGAAGCATTCCTAAATGCACAAACTATAACTGGATACTTGCATTTATAGGTAATAACACAAGGGAAGTTGATCCAGGGAAGGTCCTGGGGGTTCAGAAAGGATGTTTCCCCCGCTGGAGCAAATTGAATTAGTCTTTATTGGGGTTTTTTGTCTTCCTCTGGATCATCTGTGGGTATAGGATTGTGTATATGGAAGTTGTCTATTTTTTTTCTCTTCTATTAGCTGAACTAAATGGGCGTTTGTCTTTTTTCAGCCTGATTAACTACCGGTATGTAACTGTATAGCTATATGTCATTGCAGAGTGCATTCTTCAGTGTTTTGTAGTCAATAAGACAGAAAAAAATGGATTCTTGATCGTGACAGTAAAAACATCAGAGCAGTTCAGTACATAAGCCTTGCAATACAAGTATTTGTAAAGTGAACCTGACCTTTCCAAAAGAAAGAGTACAGAAGGGCAAGCAAAAGTTCTTGTGTTAGACTTCAAACTGATCCATTTGTCTACGTCTATGCTGTACATGAGGTTTTGAGATCTGTAGATCTAAGCCCTACCCCTGTCATATGCAAGAACTTCAGTAGACAATACAGGCACTGGAATTTTTCTGTTGAATTGCAGGAGGATGTCTAAAACGTATGTAATGCCCAAATTTTATTTTTAGTTTTGAATATAGAGTAGGAAATGATTAAGACCCATGTCATGTCCAGGGGCGGAATGACAACTCATGGGGCCCCCGGGCAATAGGGGATTGTGTCCTTGCCCAAACTCAAAAAAGCCTATGAAAAAGGTACCAGGGGCATCTCATGGGGCCCCCTACTGACCCCGGGCCCTCGGGCAGTGCCCGAGTTTCCAAATGGTCAGTCCGCCCCTGGTCATGTCTGTGTTCTGTGTGGGAGATTTTCTTTCACGTTCTGTTCCAGGGAGAAAATGGGAAGTAAAAGGAGGTCTCTGCAAAGCAAGGGGGTTGTCATCTGAGCAAACGTATTTTCCATCACTTTTAGTACCAGAGACAATGGTCACCAGAACCAATAGTGAGGTTGAATCTCTTGAATTGGAACACAGACAGCAATATAAACCATCCACATTCTACCCAACACTACAAAAGAACAGGTTTGGTTTTACATACACTTAAATTTTAACACTGGCAGATATCGAGGCTTCATGTACAGCTTGGACCTGCAAGCCAAGGGACTCCACAAGGAGCCATCGTACATTATAAAGATAAACTCAGGTATTTCCAACAACCACAAGGTGTTCTACATCAGGACTGATGCTGCCTTAAATCCTGATGCTATAAAAAATTTTCTCATACAAACCTGTAAAAGAATAGCGTACATACTCGCCTTTCTGAGCGCTACTCCAATTCTGAGGCATGATGATTACAGGGAAACCAACAATTCCGACAATGTCGGAAGCTCTCTCTGGTTCCTCCTGCTGACCTCCATATCTCTTCTGTCTCCTTTAATAACACTGAGCTCAGCAGGAGGAACCAGTGAGAACTGCAGGGAACTAGAAGATCCACACTCCCGGCAGTGCTGGTTTCCCTACAGACTTTGGGGTCTCTTTCTAAAAATTGGAGCAGTGTTTAGCAGCACAAGCGGGGAAAAGGTTAGTATGCACACAGTTGTTTTACAAGTATGGCTTTACTGGGAACATTTGGTACAGCAAGGGGGTCAGGCCAGGTCAGGTTCACTTTAACACACTACCTTCATCTGGATAGCTGAAGCGAAACAAATACATTCTCGAATGGTTCAGTGAAAATTCTGACCTTTACCATATTAAATGCTACAACATCTGAAGTGTGTAATTCATATAGTGTAAGACAAAAAAATATTTGATGAGGCAAAAAGATATTGCAATAAAGAACAGGTAAAAATACTTTTATGAATAAGTAATTTACTTCTTAACACAAGTATAGATAATGTCTCCTGACATACAAACATACAACTACTACGATGGGTTGTGGAAATATCAACTGCATTCAAATTTAAGTGCTGCTCTCCTTTATAGATCTTTCTATATTATTATAAATCCCCTTGACTTACCCATGCCTAAAATTTCCCTTTCTAAAACCAAGATATTGTTACGCAATGGAAATAAGCACCAGTGAAAGTTTAAACTCCTGTTTAAAATTGACAGGACCATAAAGGATATGTATTTAATGATGTCTAGATTTGTCATCTAGGGCTCAGTAGTAGGAAGTATATTGTAACTACAAATAATGGGGCTCCATGACAAGGTGGAGAGTAGCTTAAAAATGCCTTAATTTCATTTGTAGAAAAATAATTTTAGTCCTATGACAAATGGAACACTTAGGGAGCACTAGGGAGGTTAGTCTGCTTGAAAACTCTGGTTTCTTCCCACTGTCAGGAAAGGCCTGCCCATAGTGCAGGCGAAGATCCACGGTGCACAAATATGGTCAGAACTATGACGAACCGGGCATATGTGCGGGTGCTTGGGCATAGGCGGGCGCATGTGTGTGTGCACACTCACGTATCCAGGCACACGCCCGTCACTAATGCTGGCACCAAGGGGTTATTTAAACTGGCTGCAGTAAATGTCTCATTGCCGTTTGGTCTTATCCCTGCTCGTGTTCCCTGATTCCTGTGATTGTCTCCTGATACCGAACCAGCTTGTTCCTGACCTCCGCTTGACCACTACCTGCCCTGACCTCTGGCTTGCCTTGGATTACCCTTCTGTCTCCTGCTTCTTTCTGATTGATCTTCCACTGCTGACTTGGCCTGTGACCCGACTACGCTTCCTCCTGCCGTCTGTGCCTGATCTGCCTGACTGCTACTGAACCCGGCTCGTCTGACCCTGCATCCTGAAACGCACTCCTCAGTGATTCCTCCATCCAGCATGGCTGCATCCAGATCCTGCTCCCTGCCTTCAGCCTGCCCTGCAGCTCATCTGCCTACCGGCTACTACTGGACTGATCACAGGCACTCATACCCCACCGTGCCCCTGTGGATGCTGTTCTACTATCATTGGTCCTTGAGCCAGAGTTGTACGGGAGGGCTGCCTCTTCACATCAGGCTCACTATCCAGATACGTGACACCCACACTCCAAAGACATGCCGGTAGGTTAATTGGCTCCTGTCTAAATTGTCCCTAGTATGTGTATGTATGAATGTGAGTTACGGACCTTAGATTGTACGCCCCTTGAGGGTTAGGGACTGATGTGAATGTACAATATATATGTATGTAAAACGCTGCTCAAATTGAAGGCGCTATAAAAGTACCTGAAATAAATAAAAAAGACACAAGCCCATCAAGTTCAACCAAAAAAAAGGAAAAAAAAATGTAAACAAAATTTAAAGAGGGAAAAAAAAATGTTTTTTAAAAAATTAAAAGTATAATTCCTATTGCAGAAGTTACCTAAAATCTGACTTGAATCTTAGTATAGACTTCTGGGAGAATCAGTGACCCAATCACACAACCAGGAAATGTACAGAACGCTGCCAGGTTGCCATATTGCATTCAATTTTACAGAAAGTTATGGCGCTGCAGATTGAATAGGAAAAGTAACTTTTTCATAACACTAATTTACAACATGGTTTGTGTCATAATTGTATATGCTATACACTGCATATATTTTTTTATTTGCTATATTTTTTGTCATGAAAGTGGAGTTACCCTTAAAGTGTTACTAAACCCACAACAGTAAAATAAATCTGTATATGCTGTAAAGCATGCTTGTTATACTCACTGTGGAACCTAAAGGGTTAATCCTTTGCATTATATAAAAAGGCTGTTTGATCCGGTCTTCTCTGATCCTCCCCTTCCTCTAATGTCCCAATATATCTCCTGATAGAAGAGAGCCCTAGGAGACACTCTGCACATGCTCAGTTTGGTGTGTATTGCTAGAGTTTTATTTTCTTGGGAGAGTGTATGTGATCAGCATAGGGCCAATCAGCACTGTCCAGACAGAGGTTCAAGGATCCTGCAACCTCATAGGGGAGAATGAAAACTCCTCCTACAAGCTTTAACCAGTGCACAGCTGGACACTGATAGAAGTTACAAGACTGCTCTAACTGCAGATGAAAAAAGGAATTTAGCCATTTATATTTACTACAATAATTGCTTTTCCATGTTCTGTGTACTGTGGGAGACCAGATAGAGTGAATGCAGGGTCCTGGGTTTAGTAACACTTTAAGAACCTAAACTACCTAAGGTCTAAGATCTGCAAACCTCCTATAATGTAAGGAAACGTTAATTTAAAAGCCAAGAGTAGGAATTGGATTCTGAACTATGGAAGTAAAATGAGATATTTTTAAAGATTGGGAGACAAAACGTCTGGTAGAGACAGCTTTGGGGTCTGCTGAGACTCCAAGGTTTGCAGTATATAACGAAAGCTGATGTATCTATCTATCTATCTATCTATCTATCTAGGATATTACTACTGCATGTAATGTTCATTTTATGGTTCATGTCAGAGCAGCAGTTGAAGTCTGTGCAGGTTCCTGTGATTTAAAGTTTTGCACAACGACAACAGAATCTTCACACTATGTCCGCATCCAAGGAGTATTGTTCCCTCAACAGGTTCGCATTATATATCTGACTGCCATTAAATTTAGAAATAAGAATTTATGGTTTGAAGAGGACAAATAAGTAGAATAAGGTATAAAGATATATTGATTGCATGGGTGGGTGGTTTCTGGTTTATGGCTGCAAAACAGGTTTGAAAAAAAAAACAAAAACAAAACAAAAAACACAAGAAAAACCTTGGTGGGCTCTAAATTATTTTTTTTTTAGCAAAATGGTTACTTTTTTGTCCAAAACTGGGTAAATCAAAAATCTAGACAAATAAAATAAACCACTCTATCTAAAAATACAGGAAACTGATTGTAATTTTACCTATTTAAGAAACAAAAACCAGAATAATCTTTCTAACAGACTTGGAAAGGTAAGAATTTCTGTCCGGTCCCCACTGTGTAGATTCCCTTTCACTTACTGTCCAGGTGTTGTGTGTCAGACAAAACTGGAAGTGAGTGGCAATCTCTTCAATGGGGACACAGACAGTTTTTAAAACCTAAACTCAAAGCAAAAATCATTATCTATAGGATTTCAATTACAGTACATACCCCACAATTTTTTCCTACCTTACTATTCTAACTGTAGCCTTGGTTTATGTGCACAAGTCAACCCCCTTTATAAAATCATTTAAATGTTACTCCCCAATCTAATGGGTGACTATAGGAAAATATTGCTGCTAAAATTCTGCTTCCTTAGTAGCCGCTCCTCCCCAAACCTGTGATTGGACAAAGTAGGAGCAGCAGAACACTGATGAGATGGTTTTTTTCTCTGCTATTCCCTCTTGTAGGCATGTACAGTGATCAAAGAAACCAGTACTGAAAGAAATATAGAGGTTACCACCTTTTAAAAATAATGGCTGCCTTGGAGATCAATACTTCCTGAGACACTAACCCAGAACTACAATGCAGATCCAGAAACTCATAGTGCATTCAGAGCTCCTTAAATTTCCATAACTTCTTGATCTGGGACTGAAACAACTAGAATAAACTGAGATCAGGAATCCAGTAGTATTGAAAGGGGAGCCGACTAGTGGCAGCTTCCATAGTTCCTCAGTAACGAAGAATAAGCAATATAGTCCTTACTGTCTTGTAATGCTGCTTTCCGTTCTTTGAGAGCTCCTGTGAATAGGACTAGGGGAAGTTGCTGTCAAGGTAGATATCTGCTTAGCTTTACGTAAAAAAAATACATTTATTCACTTTTAATGCATACAAAAACTGCATTAAACAGATTTTAAATATTTGTTACAATTCTCATTTAACCACGTAAACTATCAACAAATCTTAAAGGGGTATTGAACCCAAAAGCAAACATTTATTATATTGCAGCTTACCAATTCTTAGATGTGATGGCTACAATAGTTTTCTTTTTTTAGGCTTTCTTTCCATTATTTTCACCTGGTGCTCTGACCAGTAAGTCTGCTTTTTTTTTTTTTTTTAAAGAACAAGCTCTCTTGCAGATGTAGCAGTCAGAGGGATAAGACAAACCATTTGCCACTGACATAGGTGCTTATAATGATCAGCATTTATTTATGTAAAAACCTTTATTTTAAAAAAATACAAAATTTTTTTTTGCTGTAACTGCTTATAAAGTATGAGCTAGAGTGTATCTAAATCTGATAGTACATCTAACACTCACCTCCCTTCAGATTAACAATGCTGCTGTCCAAATGTGCCCCTTGTGCTCCTTCATCCAGAGTGGGGGCACTTTAATACAGGAGGTGTATGTATGGATCGCCAGGTGAAAACAGAGGGGAAAAAGCCTAAGAATAGAAAACTAATGAAGCCACCATATCTAAAGATTGGTAAGCTGCAATATATTACATTTTTTCATATTCTCATGGTCTCGAAGCATGGCGGTCAAACACTCTTACTATAGTGAGTTTGAAGATGTTAGTGGAATTACCTGTCTCACTAAGGCTAGAAACAAAAGTTCTTATTAGATTGTAAGCTCCAAGGAGCAGAGCCCTCCTAACCCTCTTGTATTGAACTGTATTGTTGCTGTATTGTCTCCCGTTATATTGCAAAGCACTGAGCAAACTGTTGGCGCTACATAAAAAACTGTATAATAATAGTGAAACTAAAGTCCCGCGCAAAAAAAATATTTGGTAGGAGTTGTTTTAGCAGACCATACATGCAAAGTCTCCTTTGTCAAAAACTTAAAAAAAAAAGTTTCTTCCCTGGATCCTAGCAAATGTTTATTTTTATATACAGTGCGTAGCACATGCGCTTGGCAATGTACACACCTAACTCATTCCCGGCATCTGTGTATGGAGCTGGATGTTGAGGATGACGCAACTAGTGTGTAATTTTACAGGAGTGTGCATCCATGGTCACCTAATAGTCAAAGTGCAGCAAAGCAGGACCCATAAGTAGTGACAGAGAAGTAAGTGGGGAATGGAGCAACAATTGGAACCTGGACCTATCATTGCTGGAGAGAGACACTATACAAGATATGTGTGCAATAATGTGCAAGCGTGCTGTGCAAACCTGCACTTTACGGAAAGAACTCATCCCCACTTGGCAGGCTTTGGTTTTTGCTGCAATGGAAAATTAATTTCAGCCTATTGGGTATGAGACATGTTTGCTCACACATACTTTCACCAAGTAATTAATTGTGAAGGCATGGAGAAAACCCTCTTTCTCACTTGTTGAACTGAAGTCCTGTGTATACCAATGTATGGAGCAGGAGCGGACTGACAACTCATGGGGCCCCCGGGCAATAGGGAATCATGGGGCCCCTGTGTCCTTGCCCAAACTCAAAAAAGCCTATAAAAAAGGTACCTGGGGCATCTCATGGGGCCCCCTACTGACCCCGGGCCCTTGGGCAGTGCCCGAGTTTCCAAATGGGGTCAGTCCGTCCCTGATATGGAGTATGAAAAAACTAACAGCATTTCAAAAAGATGCCCCAATTCCAAAATATCTAGAATTCCTGGATCGCCTACCTCTTGCCCACAAATTTCTACTGCTTCCTACTGAAATATATGGAACCGAGACCACTGCTGGCAATTTTTTTTCACCTCTAGCTCATTCACTCCCTACCCTTCCATCTCCCCCCGCTCTTTTTTTTCATTTTTCTTCTTCCTCTCTTTCTCCCTTCATACCCACTTTGCCCACCTACCTTACCCTAAAAAACGTGATCCTCTCTCCCCCCCCTTCCCGTTCCCCTCCTCCTATACCAATATCTCCTCTTTTAAAACATTAACATTGGTATTCTTATTACCATTTTGACTAAAAGCCCAGTTGTTTATAAATCTAGTACAGTGGAGCATCCACTGGGTTTTCCCCTCTCGTTTTCTGGTTTGTTATATTCTGTCATTGTATTTTACCTGCTTTTATACGGGATTTATATTGTACCTCCCCCCTCTAATGCAGTTTTAAGTTAACTGTTTTTCTTCATTGTACCTCCATAAAAAAAAAAAACCCAAATGAAAATTATAGAAATGGAAAAATTAAGTTTAGTTTGTGTTAGCAGAACAGATTTTTCTTCAGGATAGGCAGAATTTTCATTTTAAAAACGTAACTCCAGTTTTAGTAAGGAAATGTATTCCCCTCCAGGTAAAAAATATACATTTTGCAAGGACTATGCAAATGCTATTGGAGCTTCCTACCTTTCTCTGTTCTCGAGGAAATTGCATTTTTGTCTTATGTCCTCTTTACACTGTCGTGCTAAATGCCAAAGCCAAGTACAATGTAAAGCCTCACTGTCCTGCAATTGTAGTCTTTGTCTCTCTCTTTTACATGTTTATCTGTAGAAGAAAACATTGAAAGGACTATATATTCCCTTTCAAAATAGCTTGGAATATGCCATGCTTTGGCATGAGTGATGGACACAGATTGTTGAGCTGTTCTGTGCAAAAGAACCAGTCCCCCCCTCCTCTTCATCACTAACTATTGCAGCTCCACGGATGTGCATTGCATGATAAAAAATGTAATGCTGAGCTCAAGCATACATGTGGTAAAAGGATCATTCACCACTCAGGGAAGAAAATAGAATTTTTTTTTCAATAAGCACTCCTGATACAAACAAGAGCTCAATGTAACTCTCAAGGGCTTCCTTTCCAATGTCTTGTTACTCCTCTAATTGGCTGTATCACATTAGCCCATGGGTGCCTTTAAAAGAACTGATGGCCTTCATTTTCCAAGAAACAAGTCGCTGCTTCAGAACTGAGGGGATGTTAAAGGGGGGTTATAGTCTATTTACAGTTTTTTTTTCTAGATATCCAAAAAAAAAAGAAATATGCACAATGTAATATGTGATTTCAAAATCTTGGAGTGGATTAACAAGGACTGACAGTTGCTGAAAAATGCGCCAATTCTGATATGTTGCTTAATTAGTGGTTCCAGTGACAAATAAATGT